GTCTGACTAACGACTGTCGGCTTCCCCTTTTGTATGTATGCGAGCGCGCACATCAACAACAAAACGGTCTGGCGACATAGTTATGGAAACACTCCGTCCCTCTGTTTTAGACTAGAATATTAAAATATATAATATTGTATTATTTAGGGTAAGCAATAAAACTAACACCGCGCATGAACAGGCTCTTTGAATATGATTCATTATTAAAGCCACCTCCAAATCGGTGAGACATAGTAATTTAATTGTATTTTAGTTTGTAAAAACTCCTTTCAACGTTCCCGAAATTTGACTACTCTCTTGTCTCTCTTCTAGTCTCGTCCGAGCGTTCAGAGTAAACACGTCGCATCATGTTTACGACGAAGAACTCGTAGAAAAACTAATTGACGAGGTTGAAAAGAGACCTGTACTTTTCAATAAATTATGTAGGGAATATTCTGATTTCAATTTAAAACAAATGGGATGCACCAAATAATTAGGTACGTTTGCGTCGTTTTGCAAGTGCACGTGTAACTAGGATGCTTATTGCAACAGTATCAGTGAAGTCCATTTTGATACTGTGACTCAGACGCGGCGTGCGACGCGTCGTCGTAGACAAAACAGTTTTGTTTTAAATGTGCGACGCATCGTAGACAAAAAAGTTTCGTTTTTATTTTAAAGCAGACTTGTCTATGTGAGGCAAGACTGTCTTAAAACTGTCGTGACTGCAATCTGCGCTCAGCAGATCGCTACGAACTGTCAAAGTTGTTTAGCAAAGTGTAGTTTGCTAAACAAAAAAACCGGCACGGAGAAAGGGACAAACAATCACTCCGTTCTGTCTCATTTCTATGCAAGACGTATGCTATCTCTATATCTATCTTTTTCGTGTGCGAATGCGAAAGAAGGTGTCAATTTGTCTATAGGTTTCTATGTCTACGTTTATTACTTCTAATTTTCCGATAATTTTATGTCAAACATCAATAAAAAAAATTTAAAATTCAAAACTTCACGATTCATAATGCTCATATGATCGTGAAAAAATGTAGAAAAAAATCTCAATCAGCAATAGAATATATTATTTGAATTTTACTATATTATTATTATTGAGATTCAATATAATTGTTAATTGAAAAAACTTTTAACACAATATTCTTAAAAGACCAGAAATCAACTTTAATATTACTTTAATTTTTAGGTATTTGTACTCAGGTATTATCGTAAAAACTAGTCTTTTTTACCTGACTCGTTAGTAATTTTTTTTCTCATCAACTTTATTAAAAAAGTTTTTCATCTAGTCATAACCAGTATTTTAATTTAGCATTCACCAAAGTTCACCTTCTGTCAGGTCACACTATAAAGGTCCAAGACGTTTAAGTATATTATTATATAAATAAATCCTACGTACTTTTAGCGAAACAATATATCCTATACCTTTAAACGAGCAGTTCTTGATTGATTGATTCCGATTATATATATATATATATATATATATATATATATATATATATATATATATATATATATATAATCGGAATCTCGGAAACGGCTCCAACGATTTTCATAAAATTTAGTGTCCAGGGAGTTTCGGGGGCAATAAATCGATCTAGCTAGGATTTATTTTTAGAAAAAAGTCTTTTTGTCCGTGTTTTCAGGCAATGAAAAACTACTACAATATAAGAAGGTAAATTTTGAAATTGTGTTAAAGATCGTAATAGCTCAAGTGGATATCGAGCGGTCGCGAGATCATAATGCCTTGGTTCGCGTCCTGTCTTCGGTCCGATTTTCTTTCCTTTTTTTTCAAGTTCCCTTCTTTTGTGAGAAAATCTGTTATTTCGAGCCCTTTTCTAGTATTTTTTAAAAATACGAAAATTTACTAAACTGATTGCACTCATGATTATTTGAATAAAAACCAGTTTAGTTTTTTGTATTATGTTAATAAGATCAAAAAATATTATTTATCAGTATGTAATTTGTATCAAATGTAATATCAAAAAAAAACCGAGTAAAGCTCGGTCATCCGGGTACTTTAATGAAAATCTGTGATTATAAAAATAAAAATAATAGGTTCTTACCTTGGTCAAGTATGTATCAAATTTGGTTTTTGGAATATTTTGTATTTCTGCAGCGATCGATATTTTATTTTGGAGTTTATGGCCTGGTATCTACACCTTTAGGCCAGATCGATATTTTTCATCACGAGTAGGGTTGCCAGGTCTTAAAACCGAAAAACCGAATAAACTAGCGAGCTTAGCCGGACATTTTGGTAAATAGGCCGGACACCTTAATTTTTAAGTCTTAGTTTTTTTATAGGTTAGGGTGACAAACGACCACACAATCCACCTGATGGTAAGTAGTTGCTGTGGCCCATAGACATCTACATCTATCCTCGATTACGAATCAAAATGCAGATGCGTTATCACCCGTGAGAACTAAGATGGAATACCTCGTTTCCAGTAAAAAGGGTCTCCGGTCTCTACACTCTCCATACGAAACATAGCAGTGTTAAGCTACTATTTCACGCTGGTATTCTGTGACAGCGTGGTCCTTCCCCGGTCGAGCTGACCCATTCGTGCTACAACTATACTACTAATATAATTGCAGCATGGCTCTACCACGTATAAAAAGTAGTATAACATGACAATTTTTTGAAAGTATAACAATGATTTTTATTATTTATCATAAAATTATCTAAAATTCTAATGAAATAATAATAAAATTGAATAAATCACTCTTCTTTATTATTATTAATTCAATATTCATTACAATATTATTTTAAATAATTACTAATATTATGTATGTAAGTATATGAAAAATGTAAAAAAAAATTGTCAAATTTAAAAAACCGGGCAGGTCGGACGACGTCGTATTTGGCATACAAGCAAACAAAAAGTCTTACTGCGGCCGGCTTTATCCGGACGCCTGGCAACGCTAATCACAAGCCGCTGTAAACAAACGATACAGTAACCGACTCACGACGGCGGCCGAGCCCGCAGTATTTTATTAAAAGGCTGCTGGAACACCCAAAATTTCGGAATTTCTCAGCCGAAAAAATTAATTATAACTAAACAAAACAAAATTAAACAGTCATTTACATTCTATGGCTTCCCACATGATAGATTAAAAAATATATTGAATTGAACAATATATATTTTCAAAAGTTATCGCGTTTACACCATGCGGACTTGATAAATCGACACCATACGCTACTAAAACCACTTTTTAATGTCAAAATAGCAATTAATCGATTTAAAAAAAATATAATAAGTTCAACAATAATTTATCTTGTCAATCAATGTGCTTTTTATATCATTTATATGTTCAATATGATTGTTAGATACGATTTTATGCGACAAAACGTTGGATTCTTGATTTTTAGGCGAACATACCTTTGCGCATGCAATAGTGAAGTTATAGCTTATGCTCGTCCCACTCTTGGGCACAAATTTTTCTGTATTCGTTGACGTACTATCTATACCGCTTAAGCTAAACATTCGAGCGTAATAAATTAGCTTATGAGGTACTTACGATTTAGTCAATACTCACGATTCAGCACGAACTTATCCTGATTAAGAAACCACACGATTTAAATTGATTAAAAGAGAAGGAAGTTCTCAACTCGACACTTTTTTTTATAATGCAGTAATAGTCAACTAAAGTGCTAAGGACATACTTCCGTTACGGTCCTATATGAAATTAACCCAGTCCAATGATAATTAGAAGTAATTTATATAAATTTAAAAAAATTAAAGTGAAAAACGAACTTACAGTCCACCGATGTTATGTGGCTACTGAAGCCCATGAACAACTGCAACATAAGATGGTGGAGCATTGTCACCTCTGAGGACCAAGGTGGAATACACTATAGATGGCTCACTAAACCCTTCATCGGAATATAGCAATGCAGGCACTTCTGTTTGGCGGCACAATGAGGTGTGATACCAAAAAAATGGGCGCAAAAGTCTTCCTACCATTTTTAAAATGTAATTAATCTTATATATAAAAATCAATTGCTGTTTTTATAGAATATGAGTGACAAACGAGCACACAGTCCACCCAATGGTAAGTGGATGCTGTGGCCCATAAACAAATGGAGATGCGTTGCCACCCCTGAGGACTAAGATGGAATGCCTCGTTTCCAGTAAAAAGGGTCTCCAGTTCTCTACACTCACCATACAAAACATGGCAGCATTTAACTGCTATTTTACGCTGGTATTCTGTGAGAGCGTGGTTCTTCCCCGCTCGAGCCGACCCATTCGTGCTATGTAGCATACAAATATACAAATATAGCTGCAGCATGGCTCCACCATGTATGCTGTTCGTTAGTGTCGCTAGAACTCGAAAACAGCTCGATCGGTTTTGATGAATTTTTTGTGTGTTTTGGGTATGAAAATTTCGGGAATCAAGGAATTGACACAACATTACTATTTAAAAATGTATCTATTGCTTTTAGATGTATTCTCCGCGAAATTTGACACATTTTTCCATACGATGGAACCAATAATTGAAGCAACCATTCCATTCGGAAGTTGGGGTCTCCAAAATGGCCGTTTTGTAGGCGTCCACAGCTTCTTCAGGCGATGAAAATCTCTCTCCACGCAATTAATTCTTTATTTTAGGGAAAGTATAGAAATCATTAGGGCTTAGGTCGGGGCTGTACGGCGGATGGTCTAATAATTCTATGTTTTCTTGCTCTAAAAATTCTTTTGTTCTGTGTGCGGTGTGAGAACTCGCATTGTCGTGATGGAGGATGATGCGGCGGTTGCAATTCTCTTTACGGAGATCAGAAACGACCTGTGGCAAACAAATGATAGCATACCATTCTGCATTAACCGTTCTTTGTCCCTCAAGAGGAATAGTCGGTTTAAAAACTCAATGGGATAAAGTAGGTGGCGCTGTTGTCAAGATCCAGAAATCACCCGCGCGAAGCTGGGGCGGATCGCTAGTGTTATCTAAGAAAATATATTTATACATACGCTTACCAAAAATAAAAAAATACGAAAAAGATCTGTCTGGTTTGTTTACAGCAATGGTACCAACCGGCGAAGGTGTCAGCGAAGACGGAACGCAAGAAGCGCCCTCTACCGTCACGGACAGAACAGGTGAACATGCTGCAGGCCGGACACACATACGACGTGCTCATCATCGGCGGTGGAGCCACGGGTGCCGGCTGTGCTCTCGACGCTACCACGAGAGGTAACTTTATATTTTATTCATATAATACAGCTGCACGTAACCGTGTTGTGGCGGAGAACGTGAATCCTGTCACCCCATTTTATCCCGTAGGTGCAGTAAGACGCGACTATTATTGTTATTGTTAACTAGCCAGTAAGAAGTTGTGAAGAGATCAATAAATAAATAAATAAACTATGGTAAATGACAAAAACCTCATGAATTCCGTTAGATGACGGTATGACTATGTCGTATATATCATCGGTATACTTTCCTAAACACTTCTGCTCTGCAAGTTTATAGAAATAATAAGTCCTATCCTCTAGCAAGAATGTGCCGCCTCTACAGTGACTTATTGATTAATTATATATAGTAAGAATATTGACCATGTTCAATATCAAAATAAACCGTATTGAATACATTTTGTGAATAAGGCATTTGTTCAAATTCAATTTAAATTAATTTTTATAAATTTTCCACAACATATTCCGCTATACATATATGTTAAGTAAAGTATTAATAAGTAAATTATTAATGTACTGTAATCTCATTACCTAATATCACGTTGTGTACACATGTTTTGGAATACCCTCCAGATCGTACTTTGTACTCATTATTTTATTCTGTTTTGTGTACGTAAATAAATAAATAAATATGCAAGAGTGAATGCGACTATGATAAATGCTAGAATAGCCAGTAAAGTACACAAACTGCTGACGGGCAGCAGCTTCAAAGGTGTAAGACGTCTGGTACTGCAATCGGTAATTCGCCTGCCAGCGTGACGTATAGGACACAGCCTCCCTTACGTGGTCAAGTCCAGCAGTAGACTTCTGCGGATTGAAGAAGAAGAAGATATACCAGATGTAAAATACCCAGGACGGCAACCAGAAACAGAACTTAGGTTGATAATCGACTCGTACAGTGTGCACCAAGCTGCGAAGCGGTTGCGTTAAATCGTCCACACGTTTGTTTTTAAAAATAATACAAGCAATTTAATTAAACAACATTTAATATTAACAATTTAAGCTGGGGGTCGCGGGTTCGAATCCTGCATGGAACAAGTATTTGTATGGCCTACAAATAATTGTTCCGGGTCTGGATGTTTGTCCTTGTGCAATTTATGTTTGTAAACTGCCTCCACGATGCAGGAGAAAATCCTAGTGTGGGGGTAACGTTTTAAAAAAGATTTATTTATTTATTCTGATTTCTTTTTCGTGATTTTTCTCAGCAACACCTACTCTCGGACATAAAATAGTATAAAGTAAAAAATAATATAATATAAAGTATTTTATTCAGAAAATGATGAATAAAATTATACATAAAATAATAACTTACGATACGTTTTAAATCATTTCAACAGAGTAATTTTACAGGGTAATATCAAAAATATATTTTTCTCCTTAAAATAAATCTTTATTCTTGCATCTGTAACAAGTTAATATCTAAACCGAATTTCAATCATCTACAGGATCTAATATTATATCTAAAAAAAACATATGAGCAGACAGACTGGCATTGAGATGATTCCATAAGTGGCTAAGATCTATGTGGGTTGATTTTTTTAAAGATAGGTACTCAAAGTTGAATTGACTAGAGAAGTCATTAACAGAATGAAAATACAGACATATTATTTCTTTGTCATATTGATAGTTTAAATTACTTAATCGCTTTTTCTTTGTTTCATTTTAAACAAATTTAGAGAGCATCGTTTTTAAAATGCTTGTTACCTCTACTACTGTACAATCTCGACCTACTCTGATTTTAAACGCTACAGCACTGTGGTTAAAATTACCTTTTAAAGAGCACTTAGGAAACTGGGGTATTTCCGAATTTTTCAACATTTAATGCTGCCAGGTCACGTTACACAATTTTAAATGTATTATATTTATTCCAAGCTTTATAAATAGATGTATAAGTAGTAATAGAAGTACTTGATTAAAATTAAAGCCTATAAACGGAACAAGCACAGGCCACAAGCATAGGCCTGAGTTAACTACTAAATCTTAACACTTCAACGGCGCCGGCGGAGACGGTACTTTGCTCCTAGACTATTACGGCAATGAGATGGCGGAATAAGCATCTAGCATATGCATGTAGTAATACCCTGACCTCCGATAGAATGGGTATAAAATTCTATATAAAAACGCTTATATAAAACCATCTGGGCGGGAGATCTTCCCCTTTTCACTAAAATATGATGAAGAATAATATCTTACTTACAAAGCGTATATTTTTCCAGGTCTCCGTACAGCTTTAGTAGAGGCGGATGACTTTGCAAGTGGTACATCCAGCCGCAGTACTAAACTAATTCACGGTGGCGTTCGTTACCTACAAAAAGCTATTATGCAGCTTGATTATGATCAATATAAAATGGTGAAAGAGGCTTTACATGAACGTGCCAACATGCTGGAAGTAGCCCCCCACCTAACTCGACCGTTGCCTATTCTACTACCTGTATACAAGTGAGTCATCATAGATCAATCATAGAATATAGAAGATTATAGTTCAAAAATATATTGAAAATTATCTGGCTCGACGAACCATTTTTTTTACAATAGTAATGTTAAGTTAAACTATGAAAATATGTTTATGATTAAATATTGCCGAATTCAAATTGGAGATCTACATGAGGTCTCTTTTAAACGACTTCAAAAATGAAGTAGTTGTCAATGCAAGTGTAATCATAATCAATAATAATCAAAGTTAATTGAACGATTTCGGTTGTTTTTTTTTTGTTTGGTTGCTATTTATTGCAAGAGTACATGTTCACATTTAGTCAACCAGTTCCGATGTTATCAGAAGTTTACTGCACCATTAGGGTTTTATTTATAAAATGCATATATATACGTCCATTGCTAATTCCTGAGGGGGTTATGGAGCAATTATTTTACCGCGCTGCTCAATTGCGTGTTGAGACTTGAGGTTGAAGACATTTATTTATGACAATATACAGTTTTCTTAATAGTGGTAAATAGTAAATACTTATTACTTTCACTTCACTTCATCAATAAAATATCCTTAGCCCTTAAACTACTAAGACACATAAGTTGACAACATTAAAATATAAGACACGTATATTTTTTTCTTTTTTTTATGTTATAAATCTGAAGTGGCAGTCGACACTTACAGTTTACTAGCCACTAGTTCCATATTAAATATATTTAATTTTACTTTTTACAATTCTATTATCTATATGTATTTTCTAACCTAACCTAACCCCATTATTATTTAGCATAATTTGTAATGTTTTCTGTTACAGGTGGTGGCAAGTCCCCTACTATTGGTTCGGTATTAAGATGTACGACTTAGTAGCTGGCGACAGAAACGTGAAGAGCTCATACTACCTCTCGAAGAAGAATACTCTCGAACTATTCCCTATGTTAAAGTCAGACAATCTTTGCGGAGGTATCGTCTACTATGATGGTGAGTGACTTATTGACGAGTACATTTGGTATTAGAATATACGCGATATTTCATCAGTTGTAAGGGTGAATATTATGTCAGGTTTTGTGAGTCAACGCAAATACTACACGTTGAATAACCTAGTTTCACGGATTTTAAGTAAAAATTGAACGTGATAAAGTCCGTAGTTAAAAGTAAACTCGATAAATATCCGTAAAATTACTTTTATTAAAAAATATACCAACCTGCAACGAACACACAAATGGAAGGCTGATAGTAGTGAAAGTGATCTGTCGCTCTCTCAAACACCTTTAATTTTTTAATAATTGGTAGTTAAAGTTACAGCCTATATACGTCCCACTGCTAGGCACAGGCCTCCTCCCATTTCTGTGGGTTTTAGGGCAAGGAAGTGGTGGGCATTGACAATTTTTCAACACTTATTCGCAAAAGAACTGCGTCACTGATGCACAGGGTTCGTGGGAGCGCCAACAGCATTCTTAAGGTAATTAGTGAGAAACCCGAGTGTGCTTTTTTGAGGCACTGGGTTCATGTCCATGTACCCATTACCTCGGACAGGCACCTCAGGTATATGAACCGGTCAGGTATATGAATTTATTACCTAATTTTACTTACATATATTTAAGACTTTTTCTTTGTATTTTAAAAAAATATTGTATTATATCATTATGGTTTTTGTTGGTGGTTTTGTTAATATATAATTAAATCGGATATGATGTATGTGTAACGGTGAAGTTAAATTATTATTTTATTTTCGATATTATTATAAATACTTACGCATTTGATATAATTAATATTAGTAATGATTTATAATTTTAGTATTAGAATAAATGTTAATTAATGTTATTTTACCCTATGATCCTTGTTGATTGAAATAAATTAATAAATAAATAAATTGAACCCGGGTAGCTCGTGTACTGTGATATTTAGAGCGAGCGCTCATCCCCTGAGCTACCACGGCTCTGTGATAGGTAGTTATAAATTGAATTTGGAATTATATTTAATACTTTTATTTAGATGAATATTTTTGTCGGCAGGTCAGCAAGATGATGCCCGTATGAATTTGGCAATCGCACTGACGGCAGCGCGACATGGCGCGACTATCGCTAACCACGTCAGCGTCACCAAGTTACACAAAACTGCTGGAAAGCTCAGTGGAGCTAGACTTAGGGTTCGTATTGCTTTTTTTACTGCCTCGTTGGTCTAGTGGTTGTAGTAGTGCGACTGCTGACCATGAGGTCCTGGGTTCGAATCCCGGGTCGGGCCAAAAAAACCGTATATTGAGTTTTTCCGTCTAGCATTTCGCAGAAGCTGCTCTGGAGTCAGGAAAGTTGGCGGTGTCTCAACCCCGTGCCTCGTAAAGCACGTAAAGCCGTTAGTCCTGCGCCTGATCTCTCTCTGGTCGTGTCGGTTTACCGTCCCATCGGATTATGAGAGTGAGGGAATAGAGAGTGCACCTGTGCTTGCGCATAAACTCTGGCACTATAATCCTGTCCTGCGCCGATGGCGTCTCCGTTGAGGCAAGCCGCCGTGACCGAAATTCGGTCTGGAAGACATTATTATAATTCTTTATTAGTTATAGTTTGGGTACAGAAAAGAACATTAACAGTGAATTTGAATAATAGCCATAACTTTCTATGTTTATACGTAATCGAGTTTTGGAGCGTATTATAGCTGTTGCACGAATGGGCTATGAATGGGGCTACTTAACTGGGACTATGCTATCATGTATCGTATGGTAGGTAACGCAAACCGGCGGCCCTCTTTACAAATCTAAGTCCTCGGGATAAAAGGTTTGCGTTTTGATTCTTAATCGAGGATAGAAAAGTGAGTGGTGGGTGACTTGTAGAGGCAATGTTTTTTTTATAGGATAAGGGTGACAAACGAGCACACAGTCCACCTGATGGTGGGTGGATGCTGTGGCCCATAGACATCTAAATTTATCCTCTATTAAGAATCAAAACGCTGATGCGTTGTCACTCTTGAGGACTAAAATGGAATGCCTCATTACCAGTAAAAAAAGGTCTCCGGATCTCAACACTCACCATACGAAACACAGCAGTATTAAGTTGCTATTTTATGCTGGTATTCTGTGATAGAGTGGTCCTTCCCCGGTCGAGCCGACCCATTCGTGCTACAACCATAATATAGCTTTAGTGTGCCTCTACTACGTACAAAAAAAACGTGGTCTACACTTCATTCCGATGTAAAGATTATTTATTTATTTAAAGAATTTTAATTTGTGACTAGTGATGTTTATCCTACTCTTATTTATTGTATTTATTATAACTATATAAATATTTCTATTAGGACGAATTGACGGGTAAGGAGTGGGATATAAAGGCGAAATGTATCATCAACGCGACCGGCCCTTTCACGGACACCATCAGGAAAATGGACGACGAAACCGTGAAGGAGATCTGCTGCCCGTCCTCGGGAGTTCACATTGTGCTGCCCGGTTATTACAGGTAATTTGGACATAAAATAACATTATCATCAATTGTGCTTCTGCCTTAATTATTATTAATTTATATTATCTTATCTATCTTACTTATCATCATTTACATTTACATTAGTGATTTTCTTATTTTCCGCCTCGTTGAATTTAATGTTGGAAGATTTGTAGGGTCATGATTCAGGTTTATGGAGTAGGCTTCACCAGGAAAGGACCACGCAAACAGAATACTAGCGTAAAATAGTAGTATCTGCATTTTGATTATTAATGGAGAATAAATGTTGATGGTCTATGAGCCACAGCTTCCATTTACCATCAGATGGACTATGTTCTCGTTTACTAAAGTCCAGTCGCGGACCAAGAAGAATTTTGTACAATGACCTCTTAGCCTACTGACAGTGGTTACACACATTTTTGTATTAAGTGCGGTTTATATTAAATATTTGAAGGAGAAAAAATAAATTTACTAACTTATTAAATAAATTATTGTTATTAGATAAATTGCTTATTTTGATTTTAGTATAAAACAGTTATGAAAATCTAGTTGCAATTACTAATTTGGCAGAAATAAAGAAATGAAAATTCAAAACTCAAAATCTGATTTTTTTCTATCGGAGTTACTGCTTTCCGATGACATCTCGCCTGTCACATTTATCACAAAAGGATCAACAGTTTTGTTTACACTATCATTTAATAGATTAATCTAATAGATAGATCTAATTTCGATTCCTCTATTTTTACGTGACTAAGGCAATTTTGCCATTTTTCTGCTGAAATGTTGTCTAAAGCCTCCTGGAGCACCTTTTTAATATCTGTCATCTTAAATGTTGTATTTTTCTAATTTCATTATTAATCATTTCAATTAATGAGAGTCGTTTTTTGCGGTGATGCAGATGGCTTGACAGTGTCTGTTTCAGTATATTATATTAAAGTACGATATATGGCCGATTTCGAAATGCCCAAAATATTGGCTGTTTGCTTTTTTTTGAAGGATATTTATCAATAAGCCAGGATTCTTTAACGTATTCACACGTAAACACATTACTAATAATCATTGCCTACTAAGATACACTAAAGTAAGACATTTTTCTTTTCTAACGTCGAGAAACAAACTCCTTTAATGGATGCGAGGTAGACGGCGCTGGTCCTATTTTAAAACGGTGAAAAAAATTAACAAAAAACTTAACAATTTAAACCAGATAGCAAAAACTAACAAACAACAATGGACTAAGTATAGATAACTGAGACAACCGTGTCCTGAGCGATGGCTAACGCATTCCAAAATGGAATGTCGTTTGTTTTGTTATATAAAAATTATTAATTATGGAGGGTTATCACTCAAGGTCAACCAAACACCACATGCAAACGAGAACAAACTTCACAGCCTCAGGTAGAGAATGGGTGCGTTTGGCAGAAAAAAGCGCTAGCAAGCGATTGTAAGCGCTGAAATAATTTTCGGCCAGGACACGATTGCTACTTCAGTAGCGCTGACACTATCCGCCATTTTGCTTATTTAATTTGTTTGTTTTGAAGTAGAGTTTATAAGTCGTTTTGTGCAATAATAGTTTTAAGTAATATAATGACATGAATAAACATATACATGTTATTAAAAATTCATGATTGGTAAGTTTTTTAATATAAATACTATACAAACATATATTTAAATTAGTTTAGGTTCTAGGTTAAGGTTCTTAGGAAACTAACATCGTGTCCTGGAGGAAAATAGCTACTTACGATTTGACAGCGCTTACCGCTTACGATCGCCATTTTGCTTACAAGCGCTTGCTAGCGCTTTTTTCTGCCAAACGCACCCAATGTTTACAATCGCTGAGGACGGCGGTCATTAGATCTGTGCGAGCGAGACGCATTATATTTACGCGGCAGTGACAGAGACAGGTAATAACAGATTAACGTACGAAATTTTTCCTAATTCGTGTCCGGACTATAATCTTACTTCTATAAAAAAAGTATAATACTCTAGGGTAGAGGTAATCGTCAAGCCTTTAGCCTCGCCCTCGTAACCTATCCTTACGATTAAGCCTTAGGCACAAAATTTTAATACTGTTTAAGTTTTCATTTGCTTAGTATTCACTAACCTATTTAAGTTTTATTTGCACTGTCCACATTTGCATGCCGTGGCATAATTAAGATGATGATGATCACAGCTTTAGTTTGATATTCATGTTACTTTAAATTCCATGTAGTGTTCATCTTGTGGGTTGTTCTTTTAAATAAAATAAAAAAATACAAAAGTACTACGTACAGAATGCTCTCTCGCTCCCCTCCCATCGATTCGACTTACCTCGCCTTTACTCACATATACTACAGCACGTATCACGTACCTACGTACATACCTACACAAATTTATAACAATTTAGAATAAAGATAAATAAATATATAAATTTTCCAGAGTTAAGACCATTGACATTTTGAAGAAAAAGCAGTCGCATATTTCCTTCCATTACAGCTTATAAAAGTATACTGCTGAACATCGAACTCTTCCATGGATTGCCCTCCTCCTGATTCCTTTCCTGGAATCCCCCCTATGGGATTTTGCCATAGTTGCCACGCTGCCGCGGCTGCCCAACTCCTTGTTTGTTTTCCCACTGTCGCCTCTTACGTCAATCACGGGACGATATGAGGTAGTGGATATGCTTACACGGCCACTACACGGTGGATATACCCATATATTTCCTTACATCCGATTAACTTATATTTAATGAATGAAAAAGTCCGATTAATTTATAAACAATATATTTCTAATGTATATTTTGTCACGTTCAGTCCGGAGCACATGGGTCTGCTGGACCCGGCGACGTCAGACGGGCGCGTGATCTTCTTCCTGCCGTGGCTGAAGGGCACCATCGCGGGCACCACCGACCTGCCGTGCCAGGTCACGCACAACCCCAAGCCCACCGAGGACGAGATCCTCTTCATCCTCACCGAAGTCAAGAACTACCTCAACCCTGACGTTGAAGGTATTTTTAATGATATTAGAGTAAACCCTCAGTGGAAAGGTTCCGACGAGGCGGATTCCTTAACGCATAATAAACACAAGATTTACAGTAGTGTCCTAAGAGTCCGCTGCTTAAAATAATGTATAACAAACGCGCTGATACATAGACGACACCTCGAAAAATGCACCTCCTTTCATAGAATAGTGTAGGACTATAACACCACTAACGAAAGTGGTATTTTGATATAAGTAAATTCGTGTCTTTATCTTAAATTTGCTTGTTTAAAAATACAATTGTATAATTTTGACTCGATCATAATTATTTGCGAAAACACCTCTAAAAATCACTATGTTTGAAATTACAACGAAATTTCTTAATCTATGTACTTGGGAATCACTCAAACATATTCATAACATCAATATTCGTAACTTACTTGCTCATTATTTTAATTACTTACTTAAATCAATAATTTAAATAAATATATTTCAAGATTTTGACAATTTCTAAGCGATCTTAATCGTCGCGGGCGCTACGCAATTTTACACCTTGGGTGTTTTTTTTCAGGGCCCAGAGCCACTTTTTCGATGTTGTCGTCTTAGTATCCGAACGCTCTCTACTGAGGCTTCAGGCTTAAAAGTCAGATAAAATATAATTGAATATTATATTTTCTCCTCGACGTAAGGAATTAAAATTTTGTTTGCTATATCTAGTAAGAGCTATTACAAATATAAACGATGAGGCATTCCGTCTGATTAACCTTGGGATTACAATGTACTTCCGTTCTATTTTTCGAACTAGCGGCAATTGTCTAAATGACGGCGTGATTGATGAGTGACAAACAAGCCCACATTCATCCGTTTGACAAACTGTTAACTCTACAAGCGTCTACATGACGTTGTCTTACTCTATCTTTTACATCCTCAGGGAAAACGGGATGATAAACTTTTTACTATTTTATCGTGTCCTCTTAAGTAACCTTACTTCTTAATTGACATGCACCTAGTGTTTTTTTTTGTTTCTTAATCACTGTGTAAGAAGCGAGTTTTCAGTCCATTATTTGGTGGGCTGTGTATTTTGCAGAAATTTTGAGTTACAGTGATGATTGAATCACAAACAAGTGTACAGTAATTTTTTCATGTCAGTGCTCTATGGAATAGTAAGTCTATTGCTTAGCTTTAGAGCGATTTGGCGTATTTCAACTATTTTTTTTTTTCGTACATGCGCGCGTCTTTGGTAAACGGTGTTTTCCTTATGAGCGTGTATCTAATAATCAATTTCATTTCAATTTCAATTCAATTTTTTACGTCGTTACTAAAGTGATTTTAGTGTTCACAATAAAGGTTTTATTTAACAAATATGTTATATTTCTATTTATCCTAAACTATCGCGGCAACAGACGGTACAACCATCTCAATTTTTTTGTATGGATTGTAATGTAGTAACGAGCTCTGTTCGTTCGTTGTGTGTGCAATGACTAAACGAATGTAAACGTGTGCAAGTGCGGCGCGGCGACGTGCTGTCGGCGTGGTCTGGCATCCGGCCGCTGGTGTCGGACCCCAACAAGCCGGACACGCAGTCGCTGGCGCGCAACCACATTGTGCACGTGTCGCCCGCCGGCCTCGTCACCATCGCCGGCGGCAAGTGGACCACCTACCGCGCCATGGCCGCCGAGACCATCGACGCCGCCATCGAAAGTGAGTAGACACTATTCAAAAATAATAAGAGTACTTGCAAACAATTTTCAGATTTTTCGATGGCGGAGGTAGCGTAATGGCTTAGCAATGAGTTGCAGCATTAAAGGCCGTGAGTGGAAACAAAGAACTGTTCCGGGTGTTCTTCTAGATGTATGTATATAAACTACCTCTACGATACAGCAGAAAATACTAGTGTGAAGGTAACTTTTTTTAAAGTAAGGCTACTAGAATGTCGTCTTACATTTAATCTACATCCCCTATTTTTCCACCCTTAGTGATAGAATGTTTTCTTTAAATTTATATAGGACCAGCCCCAAAAAGTTAAAAAAGTAAAGTTAAGCTATAAGCTAGCTGTGAGAAGGGCAAAGCGTTTGACGAACTTATGTCTTGAATATTTTTTTGGACCAGCCCTAAAGTATAACTCATTTAATTAAAAAATATATTTATATCAGTTTAGCCGTTTCCAAAAAATCAATACACGTAGTAGGTAAAACACACTCGTCGAATATAGAACCTTCTCGTTTTTGTTAAACTCGGTAAAAAAGTCTTTACATTGTAATATTTATAATCGTTAGTGTGTCTTTTAGTAATCGCGTAGCTTCTGAACATCTTGATCAAGTCAGGTGATATTCACAGAATACATTTCTTTTATCACAACGATGTATCGTAGTCGTAGCTATGCTAGAATCCGATAGGTTCCTAGGACTGGAGATAGGTTTAGGTGATAGTAAAGTCAAATTATTAACAAATTTTATATTTATTCAACAAAACACCCTGACTCATAATGGCAACATTATGCTGGTTTTGTGCCAAAAAGAACACTCGTCTTCATAATCATCACGTTAGATGGCGTCAAATTATTAGTAAATTTTATGTTTACTCCATAAAAATACGGGAGTGAACTCATCGCGCCACCTAGCGGAAAAAGCAGAAGCGAAGGAACTATGTTATTGGCGGATTTCGATTCTAAAGATCAATTTCAGATCTAACTTGGAATCTGAAGGGAATTCAAACATTGTGAATATAAATAAAAGTACGTCACGTCTACTCGACCGGGGAAAGGCCACGCGCTCCCAAAATACCAGCGTAAAATAGCAACTTAATGCTGCTATGTTTCGTATATTGAGTCTGGAGAACCGAAGACCATGCTTTTACAGGAACGAGGCATCATTCATCTTAGTCCTCAGGGATGACAACGCATCTGCATTTTATTTCTTAATTAAAGATAAATGTAGATGTCTATGGGCCACAGCATCGATTTACCATCAGGTGGACTGTGTGTTCGTTTGTCACCTTATTCAATAAAAAAAATTACTTAAGAACTTTTATCTTGAATACTTCACTTACTTTGTCACTTCTACTTAATTTATAAATATCTCAATTTATTGTAAATTAAAAAAGAAGATTATTCGACTTAAAAGACTATCAAAAATATTACACATTACCATATTTTCAACTAACTTATTATTTATAGGTGCAAACCTGAAGCCGTTGTACAGGGAATGCCAAACTGACGGGTTCCTTATTGAAGGAGCACATGGTTGGACGCCCACGATGTACATCAGATTAGTGCAAGATTTTGGTCTAGAAATGGAGGTATTACCATTGTATATTATATACAATAAATTCATGCCTCATAGGTTATTCACTGTTTGTAGCACTGTTCAAGTTACCACGCTTAGTACTTTATTTTGAGTCGTTATTGGGACAATATTACTGCCCATTTCCCGTATCAGTTTCCCTCGCGTCGCCACTAGCGACACCTACGGGACGATACGATTACACGCGGTAGAGCCGTGCTGCAGCTATATTATGGTTGTAGCACGAATGAGTCGCCTCGGCAAAGAATATCAACGTAAAATAGCAGCTAAATTCTGTGCTGTGTTTCGAATGGGAGTGTAGAGAACCGGAGACCCTTTTTACTGGAAACGATGGCATTCCATCTTAGTCCTCAGGCGTGACAACGCATCTGCGTTTTGCTATTCTTAATCGTGGATAAATGTAATGTCAGGTAAATTTTTTACGTGTTAGAGGCACGCTGCAGCTATTATGGTTGAATGGATCGGCTCGACCGGGGAGGGACAACGCTCTCAAAGAATGCCAGCGTAAAATAGCAGGATAATGCTGCTGTGTTCCGTATGGTGAGTGTAGAGAACCGGAGATCAATTTCACTGGAATCGAGGCATTCTATCTTAGTCCTCAAGGGTGATAACGCATCTGCATTTTTATACTTAATCGAGGTTATATGTAGATGTCTATAAGCCACAGCAACCACTTACCATCAGGTGGAATGTGGGTTTGTTTGTCTACATTATTCCAAAAAAAAACTATATGAAGTAGTAGATATTCTTACTACGAACAAGGTTGTGCAAATACCCCTATGAGACAATGTTTGGCTGAAGCCTATGTACAGCAGTGGACTGTTCATAGGCTCTAAATGAATGAATGAATATTTCTAAATATACGTGTACTTTTAGGTTGCCCAACACTTGGCGAAGTCCTACGGTGACAGAGCTTTCGCAGTAGCAAAGATGGCATCTATGACTGGCAAGAGATGGCCGATCATCGGCAAAAAGGTCCACCCTGAGTTCCCATACATAGACGCTGAAATCAGGTATAGTATTATTAATATATACTATAGATTATTAATAATACTTATTGAGTAATTTATTATGCTTATAACACTAGTTCAGAAAAAAAGGTATGGGGACTTTTTTTTAAGTAATATTTCTCAATGTTGATCACTCAATTACCTATATAAAAAGAAAATATTTAAGTAACAATCACCATCTCTATATACAGGGTTATTTTTCAAAGAGTAGCCAAATTTTAAACTTTAGTTTTAAATATATAAAATAATGATATACCGTCAATGCAGTTTTCGAAAATACGAATAAATATGGCTTCTACTTTTATTTGAAATTATCCTTATATTGATTTATGAGCAACAACGTTTTTGCCTACCGATCGGCCCTTAGAAATATGAATGGGCATTACCACGCATTTTGAATTTATTAGATAAAAAGGATTCAATGTTTGAGGTGTTTTTTAATAAATTTTTCTTCACCATTTACCTACATTACTTATTCTGAGCCGGCTTTGCAAATTTGGCCGGTTATTGCAAAATAGCCCTGTATAAATACCAATTGCTGTCCCATAGTCTGACTAAAACTCAAAAACGGCTCGATCAATTTTGACAAAATTTTTGTGTGTGTTTGTATGAGCCCCTAAATGGTGTAGATTTACATTAGGACCCGATAGGTGGCGCTATCAAGATCTCGAGATTCTCTGGCGAAGCCGGGGTGGATCGCTACCTTTTTATAAAATTGAATTGATACATGAACTTACAGTCAGTTGATGAACATAACGTTATTTACTATTATTTATTTTAAAAAAACGTACAGAGACAATTTACATATTTTAAAACAGGTTCTTGACAGTATACTGGTGATTTTTTTTACCGCTGGGAAAAAATAGGGTGTAACAGGTGAACAGAATATTTTACCTTTTTTTTACATTAACATACTGTTACGAGCTTGAGGTTCGTGATAATAAAAATTGCCGATAGAATTACCTAAATTAACACTTTAATTTTCTTTAAACAAATTAAATCTTAAAACACCAATAATTAAGCACACTAATTCACTTTATTCCGGTCCGAAGCTTCGCTTGTCTCGCCAAATTCAATACTTCCCCCGATCGCACCTTGCAGCGCCTATATATACACATTAGTACCGAATCATCCAGAACATTCAAGTAAATACGCGCACCAATCGACAAAGCGCCGAAAGTTCGAGAGTCAGCTTCCAGAAGCTTAGTTCTTCGTTTTGACGACAGATGGCGCTGTCGGTTGAAAGATTAGTGATGTCATTTTCTGGAAAGCTCTCCCCTCGCTCCGTTACCCGACAGTAGATGGCGCTAGTGCCAGATGTTAACTTAGCCGCGCAAGAATACTATAAATTGATCTATCAAATAAATACTATAAATTGAAATAGACTTTCTGTACCAAAAAAAAAAATAAAATACAAATTTTGAACAAAATAAATAACACAATGAAAAACTATCGAAATTAAAATAAGACACACCCAATTAGTAGTATTTATTGGTAGATCAATTTCATATAATGTTAGTGTAAAAGAAATATTGTAAAATATTAGTGCCATGGGCTTCTATTTTGTTCACCTTTTACACCCTATTTTTTCCAGACGGTAAAAAATCATCTAGTATAATGAGATTTATTAATTTATAGTCATAATGATAAAATCAAAAACAAAAATCAGCAATACATAGGAGAGAAGAGCTGTTATATGGATTCCAGAGTTGTATCCTGTTTAAATTTGCTGTGGCCCATAGACGTCTCCAGTTCTCGACAATCACCATACGAAACACAGCAGCATTAAGCTACTGTTTTACGCTGGTATTCTGTGAGAGCGTTGATCTTCCCCGGTCGAGCCGATCCATTCGTGTTACAACTATACTACTATTATAACTGCAGCATGGCTCTACCACGTATAAACGTTCAGTTTGTACAGCAAAGGAGTGAAAAAAATTGCCAGCATCTGCCTTACCTACCAATTATAATATGGGTGTTTTCAAGGCAAGAGTTAATTGGCCTTTGATAAGCCAAGTCTATCCAACCATCAGGTGGAATAGCCAGGCAGGCTGCAGCGATACAGGGAGAGGAATCTCCTCCAGCCGCATCCCACTAACTCACGGCTACTAACGCCCCCAACCCTTTAGCAACTCATGGCATTATTTTGCTTATAATAGTAAAAAGAAAATGACGAATGTAAAACAGATACGGCGTGCGCGAATACGCGTGTACTGCGGTGGACATGATCGCGCGGCGGCTGCGACTCGCCTTCCTCAACGTACAGGCGGCCGTCGAGGCGCTGCCCGCTATCACTGACATCATGGCCGAGGAGCTCAAGTGGAGTGACGCCGAGAAGAACGTAATCATTCTTTCATAATTTTCGAAACGGTACTTTGACTGTCGAGTAGCTAAGAGAAGCGTGGTTGCTGAAGTTGACACATGATGTAAATTTATTGTACTATTGTTTGAAATTTACATTTAAAACCAGGGTTAGAACCCTGCCGGCCTAGTAGAATTATTATTTTCAATTTTATTTTGTTATTCCCTTTTCCTACAGCAGCTCATGCTCCTGTCGTGCCGGCTAACGCGTTAAAATAGATTATAGTGGTACGTGGCTGGTTTTGGACAATATAGCAAGCGTATTGTCCAAAACCAGCCACGTGCCACGTCTGTCATTTTATTTTTGATTTATAACGAACTACGCTAAATACAGTCCACTTTCGTTATTCGCGCATACAATAACTTTGGGGTTATCATTCCCGGAACCGAACCCGGGACTGTGGCCCAACCTATTTGCTCTACCATTTGTGGTCATTCGTTCCGAATTTGAACCTACCCATTCGATTTAGCAACCACTAACTCAACTACTTTGTGCTGTTTTGCCACATGCTCGGCGGTGAAAGAAAATATCGTGTTAAAATCTGCATGCCATCCTCATCATCATTACAGCCCTTCACAAGCCCACTGCAGAACATAGGCCTTGTTTAGAACACATGTAAACTCCGCTAAAAATCATTGAAGCAGCGCGAAAGTTTAATTGCCCTATAACGCTTATAGATATGTCTGTGCCCAGCAGAAGGACGTAGAAAATTTTCTCCCCGCGTTATTATATAAATGGCGTAAGTAAGGTTCTAGAAGAGTTATATTACGGAGTTATGTTACGGCATATACATTTTTGCTGCTTATGCTTATTTACAGTCCATGGGCACCTGCGGTAACTTCAAACAATAAAAGCTACAGATGCATTGCCGCATCTGTAGACTAAGATGGAATTCTTCACAGCCTGTAATTATACTGACTCTCTATATATACCCTTGAGACCGGAATACAGCAGTGCGCATTCACTTCTATTAGGCGGTAGAAACATGCACGGAAGTAATCACTTCCCATACAGACTACCAGGCAGGAACGAGTACTACCACCTAGTAACCTGTTTTGCTCGTTTTACAGGGTAATTTTGTAATGACTGGCAAAATTTGCACAGAAAGTTCAGTATAAGTAATATAGGCGAATGGTGAAGAAAAATTAATGTAAAATAAATCTCAAACAATCTGTCTTTTTTATCTTTTAAATTCAAAAAGCGTGGTAATGCATTATTTTAACTGATTTCACTGCGCACGCACACATTCGCAAGAGTCAATTTGTAGGCAAAAACGTTGTTGCCCATAAATCACATTCAATTTGGGATAATTTCAAATAAAAGCAGAAGCCGTATTTATTCGTATTTTCAAAAATTGCAATAACGGTGTATGAAAAATAACCCTGTTTATGGTGTCGTAAGAGACGATAATGAAGAAGTGTCATAAGATCTTGTCTTCCGATAGATGGCAGTATAACCATCTCGTGAACGTCAGACGTGAAATATTTAGATTGTTTGCGGACAGCAGCGAAAAAGTGCACCAATATACTGGATGACCTTTTTTACTATCTGGAAAAAAATAGAGTCTAACATGTGAACTGGATACAAGCCTGTGTGATATTTTACAAAAAATAAAAACAAATTTGTTTGAACAATTACTTTGCCCTTTGCCCTTGAGCCTGTGACTTTGCGAAGTAACAAGATCAAAGATGCCTACTAAATTTATTGTTTTATTGTCGTTCGTAAAGATATGATTTGAATTTTTATAGATTTTAATTTATTTATTTATTTAATTAATTAATTAAAAACTATTAACTAGTGAAGAATACCGAGGACTGTGACCGCCAGAGATGGCATCTTTAAAAAAAATTCAAATTGTGAACCGAAATTAATATTCTTCTTCCCCTTGCAGCGACAAATTAAAATAGCGAGTGAATTTCTTGCCAACGAAATGGGACAAATGGTGAACCGTGCCAGTCGCGACAAGATTCCGATCAACCTCAGCAAGGAGGAGATCCAGACCTACATTAAACGCTTCCAGATCATCGACAAAGATAGGAAGGGCTTTGTTTCCATTAATGACATTAGAAGGAGTCTCAAGGTAAAGAATCGGTTTAATTACTTCAGTTTTGCTAATATATTTTTGTTTTCACGAAAGAATTATACGAGGATCATGTGGAACCTTGATGTTTTTAGAACCCACGTTGGATCAGTTTTGTTTTTTTTTAGTAGTAGTAGAAGAAGTAATAAAAAGTAGTAGTTTAGAGTTGTAGTACACAGTCCACCTGATGATAAGTTGATGCTGTTGCCCATAGAGATCTACATCTATCCTCGATTAAAAATCAAAATGCAGATGCGTTGTCGCCCGTGAGGACTAAGATTGAAAGCCTCATTTCCAGTAAAAAGGTCACCGGTTCTTTACACTCATCATATGAAACACAGCAGAACTAGGTTGCTATTTTACGCTGGTATTCTGTGAGAGCGCACTCCTTCCCCAGTCGCGCGACCAAAGATTTGTAGACTGAAGCAAATCTTCCATTCAATTGAAAAGTCAATGTCCAGTGGATTGCGTTGCTAGCTGAACCATAATGAGACCGGCGACGGGGAGAAACGTCAAAAGTGCGTGACATCTAGTACTGTGAGCTACAATCCAATCAATAGAGAGGCTCACGTTTAGAAGAAAAAAGTTGGGGTAAAATTATTCACATGAATCTGTATCCCCCAAAAAACCATTAACGGTTTCGCGGGTGTCGTAAAAGGCAGGCTAATCAGGGAAATACTCGGAATACCTCGTAGCTTCTGATAGAAAAAGGTATAACCATCACATTTTATACCCGATGTTAGGTATATACGAATAGAAGTGGTATAGCAATTGGATGAGTTTGTGTATTTAGGATGTGTTTGTTTAACAGGGGTGGTAGACAAAACAAAGATATAGAACAAATAGTATATGCAGGACGAAGAATTCATCGCGCTCTTTACTCTATTGAAGGATGTTAGAATGTTTCAAAATAATGAAACATTCTAACATTCAAGAATGGCAATTCAGTACGGTAGTGAAAGTTAGGTGTGAGAAGCATAAGAGTGAAATAATTGCGGTTAATAAGAAGTATGTTGAGTGATGTCGTTGAATGGTGAGTTGAGAAATTGTGTACTAAAAGTGTCCTTTACAAGATGTTGTGACCAGGATATAAAAAAGGAATGCTTCGATAGTTAAGAAAGAGGAAAGAGTGACAAAGCATTTATATTGCAGAAGTGAGTGGCAGAGTCGAAAAAGACGCTCTAAATGAAAGTTTATCAAACACATTGGCGATATATTGAAAGCAGGTCATATTAAAAGTAACTTCAACTGTTGAGCATATGAGAGAGTTGTGCCAGAATCGTGCCAAATGTTGTCCACCCTGTTATCCACTCTATATTGTATACGAGGACCGGCTAAAGGAAGCAAAATTACAGCAAGATGTTTGGTACCGACTTTGCCAATTCAGCTGTCAAGTGTAGTGATGACGGGATATCCTACTGTGGGAAGGCTACGTTCATCAGTAGACTAGTTTATGGTCTGCTGAGGCGGCAAATACCGAGTAGTGGCGGTGTAAGATTATCCACTAGCCCATATCATCCAGTGGGTGTCGTAGGAGGCGGCAGGGAGAAACAAGTCAGATGGGCAGCAGCGTCTTCCTTATAACGACTAAAAATAAAAAACTGCGGTTGCCAACCCGCTTGCCAAGCGTGGCAACTGTGGCAAATATCCCCTCTATGAGGCAATCTATGGGGGAGGCCTATGTTCAGCAGTGGACTTTTATAGATTGTAACGGTAACGGATGAATACAAGTATATTGAAAAAACATTAACGCCTAATAAGGCGATTAAATTAATAAAAAAGGCGACTATTTTAGTTTTTTGTTGACAAATGTTTTAGAGTATGGGCGTAAAACCATCTGACGCGGAAATAAGCTTGATCCTGTCAGAAATAGACGTCACATACCATGGGCAGCTGGAATTGCAGGACTACCTGCAGGTAGAACTCAAGGAAAAGATCTAAATTAGGAGCGCGTCAATGTTGCTTTATGTGTTATAAATGTTAGATGCTTGGGACTTGGGATTATCTTGTTGCTTGTTTTGAAATTCGATAAAATAGTTGGTGTTAGAGTTACTTGATGTGACTTTCGTTGGAGATAACTTTAATAGACAGTAGCTTAGTGGCCAAAGTACGGGATACCTACAGGCTTAGAGGGTTCGTATATGTCATTCGAATAATGTGATAGACCACTCCCAGCAAGCATTTTAGGCTTGGAGTAGTTAACGTGGATGGCGTTACTAGTCTTCTTTCTTTTTTTTTTAAGAAAAAGCATGTAAATACCGATTCTTTAAACATGTTTTGAAACCAAAAATAAACGCAAAATCGATTCCAAAACACGGCATCACGATTCAATGTTAATTATACAAACTGGTAACTTATTAGGAAATTCATGTAGTCCCAGAAATCCCATTATATGTCAGTCATTTGTGGCTTTTTGTTGAGTGTACGAGCTTGTGTCCACAGAACTACGGCGAGGACGTGACCGGGGAGCAGTTGCACGAAATATTGCGAGAGATCGACACTAACATGAACGGCCAGGTCGAACTTGACGAGTATCTGCAGGTCCATATATAACATTGTCTTAAAAATAATGTCAGCTTAAGTATATTTTTTTAATAAGTGTGTGTTTGGACACGCTTAAGATATGGTCCGCTGAGCAGATTATCTACTTATATTTTGTAAAGTTGTACATCTTAAAGTTTTAATCGAAAGTATGCAGTCGGAGCAATTTTTCATATATAAAGTAGAAGTATTATTGAAATAATACTAGTTTTTACGGAATTTATCGCGTATATTTAACTTTTTAAATACCCGACGTTTCGAGAGCTTTACAGCACCCATGGTCACGGGAAGGACTGAGATGTTCAACGTCCAGCTGTCATAGTTAACCGCGGTAACCATAGATTAAAATTTAACTTTTGTTCCGATCTACACAGTATGAACTTATGGTATCATGGAGTCTTGCAGTTGTATGCTTGGGTTGGGATTTAATTTTATTTATTATAGGATCCCAAGCAGATGGTAGCACCCAGCCATCTTCTCTATTGAAATTAGGATGTTTTTTGATTTCAATAGCCTCGCGAATCATCCTTGGAAGGAATCGGTGTTCTTTAGCGAGGATTTGTGGTCTATCAAATCTGATGTAGTGACGGGGGCGATCCTGTACATGTTCACAGACTGCAGACTTCCTGGAGCGTCGGTTCTTCACATCAGCTATATGTTCTTTGACGCGGGTTTTAATTGATCTTTTAGTTTGTCCTATGTAGGAGAGACCACATTCACAATCAAGCTTGTACACTCCTGCATCTTGCAGAGGGACGTTACACTTGAGTGATGGTAAAAACTGACCAATCTTCTTCGGCTGCTTGTAGTATGTTTTGATGGAAGCGCGCTTCAAGATGTAGCCAATCTTGTCAATGACTCCTCTAAGATATGGCAGTACAGCAGGTACACGCTCGACTGTGGCCGGCTTCACTCGTTCTCTGTGACGTAGGCGCGGGACCCGAAGCTTGTTGTCATGCAAAACTTGCTTGACATGTTGGAGCTCAGCAGCCAGGTGTTTACTGTCACAGATCCCTCGTGCTCTCTGAAACAAAGATTTACCCACGGTAGCTAACTGTGAAGGATGGTGGTGAGAATCACTGTTTAAATATCTATCTGTATGGGTCTTTTTTCTATACACAGTATGGCTCAAGGTGTTATCAGGATTCCGAATTACTAACACATCTAGAAAAGCTAAGGAATTGTTTGCCTCTAACTCCATTGTGAACTGAATTTTAGAATTTATAGAGTTAAGATGGTCTAAAAATGCAGTTACTTTATCTAAAGGTAGAATTGTGAAAGTGTCGTCTACGTACCGCTTGTAGAATCTTGGATTTATGGGAGAAGTAAGCAGGGCTTTCTCCTCAAAGTCTTCCATGAATATGTCGGCGACAATGGGAGATACAGGTGAGCCCATCGCCACACCATCTACTTGCTTGTAGAACTCCTCCTTCCACAATAGGTAGCCAGATGTAAGGGAGTGTCTGAGTAATACTGCATATTCTACGGGCATGTTGTTTTCTTCCAGCCTTCTAGTTACAATTGAGATGCAGTCTTCAACAGGTAAGCATGTAAACAATGACTGCACATCAAAACTGACCATAGTTTCATTGTCTGCCAGACGTAGGTCTTTAATCTCGCTGACAAAATGGTAGGAATCCTTTATGTGTGCTCTTGTTTGTCCCCTGAGCGGTGAGAGTATTTTCGCTAAGTGTTGAGCCAATCTGTAAGTTGGTGAATCGATTTGGCTCACTATGGGGCGTAATGGAGCATTGGGCTTGTGTATTTTTGGTAACCCATACAACTTTGGTGATTTGGCGCACGTAGGTATTATCTATATTACTATTAAATCTGGACGTAAAATGGATAATACCTACGTGCGCCAAATCACCAAAGTTGTATGGGTTACCAAAAATACACAAGCCCAATGCTCCATTACGCCCCATAGTGAGCCAAATCGATTCACCAACTTACAGATTGGCTCAACACTTAGCGAAAATACTCTCACCGCTCAGGGGACAAACAAGAGCACACATAAAGGATTCCTACCATTTTGTCAGCGAGATTAAAGACCTACGTCTGGCAGACAATGAAACTATGGTCAGTTTTGATGTGCAGTCATTGTTTACATGCTTACCTGTTGAAGACTGCATCTCAATTGTAACTAGAAGGCTGGAAGAAAACAACATGCCCGTAGAATATGCAGTATTACTCAGACACTGCCTTACATCTGGCTACCTATTGTGGAAGGAGGAGTTCTACAAGCAAGTAGATGGTGTGGCGATGGGCTCACCTGTATCTCCCATTGTCGCCGACATATTCATGGAAGACTTTGAGGAGAAAGCCCGCTTACTTTTCCCATAAATCTAAGATTCTACAAGCGGTACGTAGACGACACTTTCACAATTCTAACTTTTAGATAAAGTAACTGCATTTTTAGACCATCTTAACTCTATAAATTCTAAAATTCAGTTCACAATGGAGTTAGAGGCAAACAATTCCTTAGCTTTTCTAGATGTGTTAGTAATTCGGAATCCTGATAACACCTTGAGCCATACTGTGTATAGAAAAAAGACCCATACAGATAGATATTTAAACAGTGATTCTCACCACCATCCTTCACAGTTAGCTACCGTGGGTAAATCTTTGTTTCAGAGAGCACGAGGGATCTGTGACAGTAAACACCTGGCTGCCGAGCTCCAACATGTCAAGCAAGTTTTGCATGACAACAAGCTTCGGGTCCCGCGCCTACGTCACAGAGAACGAGTGAAGCCGGCCACAGTCGAGCATGTACCTGCTGTACTGCCATATGTTAGAGGAGTCACTGACAAGATTGGCTACATCTTGAAGCGCGCTTCCATCAAAACATACTGCAAGCCGCCGAAGAAGATTGGTCAGTTTTTACCATCAGTCAAGTGTAACGTCCCTCTGCAAGATGCAGGAGTGTACAAGCTTGATTGTGAATGTGGTCTCTCCTACATAGGACAAACTAAAAGATCAATTAAAACTCGCGTCAAAGAACATATAGCTGATGTGAAGAACCGACGCTCCAGGAAGTCTGCAGTCTGTGAACATGTACAGGATCGCCCCCCGTCACTACATCAGATTTGATAGACCACAAATCCTCGCTAAAGAACACCGATTCCTTCCAAGGATGATTCGCGAGGCTATTGAAATCAAAAAACATCCTAATTTCAATAGAGAAGATGGCTGGGTGCTACCATCTGCTTGGGATCCTATAATAAATAAAATTAAATCCCAACCCAAGCATACAACTGCAAGACTCCATGATACCATAAGTTCATACTGTGTAGATCGGAACAAAAGTTAAATTTTAATCTATGGTAACCGCGGTTAACTATGACAGCTGGACGTTGAACATCTCAGTCCTTCCCGTGACCATGGGTGCTGTAAAGCTCTCGAAACGTCGGGTATTTAAAAAAGTTAAATATACGCGATAAATTCCGTAAAAACTAGTATTATTTCAATGTGTAGTGTTCGCGTAAATATAAGAAATCATTATAGAAGTATTATTTAAAGAGCTAAGGATAGGGAGATGCATTGTATAATTATTTAAAAAAAACACTACTCGACCCTAGCTATATATATATAAAGATAATTTTTGCATCCCCTGAATATATTTTCCCATTTTATAATTAAGACCAATATGGAAGATATATATTATAATAAATTTTTGATATCTCATTTGGTTGAACCACCGTTGTACCTTGGATAGATACCAGCATAAGTTATGCCAATGGAAGTTACGCTGTTATGACTTGAAGGAACTTTAAAAATTTCATATTGTCCTATCTGCTTACACAGATTGGACTAGCGGCGGACTTTATAGGTGGCCAAAAAGTCGTGGATCAAACGAAATAGGGAGATACAAGAGGTCATTTGAAACATAAAATCTTTCTACAGCGTGGCCATAATTGCCATAAAAGTGAATATTTTGATTTTCTTTAAATAAAATAACGATTTTTATAAAATTAGACTAATTAAAAAAGTGATATAAAACAAACGGTGTTGTATTATTACAAGATAATGTATCAGCGCTAAAAAAGTTCTATTGCGGATTTGGGTACCAGATTTAAAGAGCAAATATTTTTTTCCAAAAATTTTGAAGCGTTACTCAAATTTTTTTTCTCACTTTAAGAGCACACTGGAAAAAATGTACTATGAAAAAGTGACTCTGTATCAGAACTATCTCTGTGGTATTTTATTTATATTTATAATATTAGAAAAAAATTAGTTCGAAAAGAACAAAAATATTCATAACTTTTAGGGCAATTGAATTATGGCCATGCTGTAGAAAGATTTTTTGTTGGGAATTGCTTTCTGTATTTCCTTTTTTCGTTTGATTCACGACTTTTTAGCCACTCTGTATATACATTATAAACTTTTTAATGACTAGTCATATTGACATTTTACTCAAAAAAAATTATCTTTATATATATTTAAAAACTATAAAAAAGTATCATATGGATAGATGTACTGATTTCAATATTAGAAGCATGCAATAACTTTCAGATCATTTAACCACATAGTTTACTAGGCTGCACTAAAAGTATCGGGAATGGAATATTTCTACTGTTCCTGTCATATTAAAATCTTTTTAATTGAAAACTCCTTGTTTTTTATAATCGAATACCATTTATTTATTTAAAAAAAGATTTTCGGTCTTGTCACAAGGTTTTGTCATACTTGTTTATTCGTTGAGAAAATGGAATTGGCTCGAGAAAATTCAAAAGCAATGATTTATTATGACTTTCGAAGTGGTTTAACACAAAAACAGTATGTTGACCGGATGATTTCTGCATTTGGTGATAAAGCCCCATCCAAAACCACAATTTATCGCTGGTTTGCTGAATTTCAACGTGGACGTGTCAAGCTCAGTGATGATCACCGTCAAGGTCGTCCAAAACTGCAGTCACCCAAGAAAACGTTGATGCTGTGCGTAAGCTGATTGAGGAAGATCGACATGTGACATACCGCGAAATTCAGGCAACTTTAGACATTGACATGAGTCAAATACAAATAATTGAGTTGCAGTTGGAGTTGCATGAACAATTAGATGTAAAAAAGTTGTTTTCCCGATGGATACCGCACTCGCTCTGTGAAGAGCAAAAAGCGGCTCGCGTTACTTGGTGCGTCAGAACTCTCGAAAGATTCCACGCAGGATCCTCAAATGCTGTATACAACATCGTATCAGGTGACAAATCATGGATATACGCGTACGAACCCGAAACAAAAAACCAGTCACGAGTTTGGGTGTTCGAAAATGAGTTAAAGCCAACAAAAATTGTTCGTTCACGGAGTGTTGCAAAAAAATGGCGCCCACGTTTGTCTCCAAAACCGGCCATGTTACGACTATTCCTCTTGAGGGACAAAGAACGGTTAATGCAGAATGGTATGCTAGCATTTGTTTGCCACAGGTCGTTTTTGAACTCCGTAAAGCGAACTGCAACCGCCGCATCATCCTCCATCACGACAATGCGAGTTCTCACACCGCACACAGAACAAACGAGTTTTTAGAGCAAGAAAACATAGAATTATTAGACTATCCGCCGTATAGCCCCGACCTAAGCTCTAATAATTTCTATACTTTCCGTAAAATAAAGAATAAATTGCGTGGACAGAGATTTTCATCACCTGAAGAAGCTGGACCGCCTACAAAACGGCCATTTTGGAGACCCCAACTTCCAAATGGAATGGTTGCTTCAAGGATTGGTTCCATCGTATGGAAAAATGTGTCAAATTTCGCGGAGAATACTTCGAAAACCAATAAATACATTTTTAAATAGTAATGTTGTGTCACTTCCTTCATTCCCGAAATTTTCAGTCTCGTATCAAATGTTATCTTTAACAAAGATTCTCTATAAAGTACATTATTATTGTCATTTATTTACATGTATCAAACAGTTTACATTATTATATTAAGCATGTTATAATATTTTAGCTCTAGAGTTTTATTTGGTTTTATATCGTTTACTAAAATTATGATCTATGATGCTTTGGCACATAAGTTTGTTTGAAGGTAGGGAGAGTTCAGCCCTTATGGAGGATAAACTTCAGTTTGTTATAAGAGTGTGCACTTCACTAATAGTCTACAGATTATAGATTGAATAGAGTCTGTTTTACGAAAGAAGTCCCGTGAAAACTATGCTAAATAGAATTTTAATTTAGGTATGGAATTTAACAGTTAACGTCAAACTCAAATTTTGCGAAGACTGTGGCGCCGCGACTAAAGAATTCTTTCGTGAAAAGACCATACATACACTAACATTAAGTTTTCACAATTTAATTTGTATGTACTCGTATGTGTGTGCTTGTAAAACGTATTGATTTTATTAGCACTCTTTTGTTTTGTTAGCAAATGTTCGTGTATCATGATGTTAATAACCGAATCCTTAGATTAGTTTATGTAAGTATGTACTAATATGTTATTGCTAATAAATAATTAACTGTAGTAAAAATTAATTCGCCATTTACTTTTTGCAGGCAAATAGAGTAACTATTGCTATATCTTGGTTACAATTCAGTAGCTTTCTTCTTTGGTGCAGTAGCTTTGAACATAATTATGATTTTTTAAGCTATTGCATAGCTTCTATCGCGGGCCTTGAGCGCGGGGACCGAATCCAGAAATTCCGTAACGAAAAAACCTCACGCTCCCCACTCCGACGGGCACGGAGGTGTGGCTTGAAGGCCGTGCATTGTCTAACGTCGTTTCTTTTCGGCAGTCTTCGACACGGTGTTTGTGTGCGTGCAACTAGACGTATTGTACGACTCTACGAAGCTCGCACGAATCGAGACGAGCTGCTCCGAAATCGGACGAATACATAAGCAGCTGTTTATGAGAAAGTATATAGGTGTATAGGTATTTATGTACAACAGTGAATAGCTGTACTTGTAAAATTTGTGTATAAAGTGTTTTGAATATGAATGAACAAAGTGCATTTATTATTTATTTATTTAATAAAAGAAAAAAAAATATTTTTCTTATCGGTCACCACGCTCAAAAAGTGTAACTTGAATTAATATCAAAGAAAAAGAAATACTGCATAAATAAAATAAATATATAATTATAATTGCATAAGTTGATACAAAATGTTATGCAATAGCTTTATTGCGGCAGTCCCCGAGCGCCACACGTCTTTTTTATTTGCATGACATATTAATAGATAAAACTAAAAACCTAACCATATTTTGTTATAATATTATTAGTAAGCATTGTGTTTTTCTTGGCTTTGTTTAGATATAAAACTAATATCAATTTATAATATTCCATGTATCAGATGATGTCGGCCATTAAGTCTGGTCACGTAGCATATTCGCGGTTCGCGCGCATGGCTGAGATGGAAGAAGAACACCACGAAAAAGAATCGCTCAAGAAAAAGATCACGGTAGAGAGGAGTGGCGGAGGCTTATAAACGACGTAATGCAAACAGTAAGTATGCCTTGGGGAGGGATGTAAAACATTGAACGGTTATTAATTTCCGATTCTAGGAAATATTGTAATAGGTACGGTTTTACCCAGTCCAAATGTTATGTTTTGAGGTTCCTAGAGTCCGCTAATATCGGTCAGCCGCCGTAGAGTCTACATCACCTAAAGATGCCTCGTGTAGAGGCGAAACACGTGTCCGCTAATATCGGTCAGCCGCCGTAGAGTCAACATCACCTGAAGATGCCTCATGTAGAGGCGAAATACGTGTCGTATTATCGTCGATGGTGTGTCTTTCTTCAAATAGTGGTGTTAGAAGTAGTGGTACTGGGATTAGTGGTGACGGGATTAGTGCATGCAATTGAGGGAGGGCGGACGGTGCACTTCAAACTAGGTAAGACACATCATTTTATTTTATTGAGCGGATGGTTGCAAAGTAACTATTCATATCTTTATTAAAAAGTTAAAGTAGTGGACAGAGACAAATTTTCAAATTGTTCCGTGTGTGGATGTTTGTCCTTCTGTAATTTATGTTTGCTGAATCGACAATACCGGAGAAAAACCTGGTGTGGATAACGTTTTTTTTTAAAGCTTCAAAACCGAAACTAACGTAACTTAGCACTTACCGTCAACACTTTGATTTGTATTAATTTATAACATAACGTTACATGTAGAGTTATAATGTTACCTTTGTTTAGTATTGGTAACGTTACCACCGGTATTTCAAGCTCTGAATATCGAATTTATGGTGGACGTTCAACCCATTTTTAAAGGGGTGTTTTGTATGGGTAGTTTAACATCAACTAATAGTATTAATGGCACATTATTAAATTATATTGAGTAATTGCTTTAAGTACACACTAATACTAATACTACACAGGAATGCCGTAAGTCAGCTCATGGAGGTTTCAGAACAACCTCCATGAGTCAGCTATTAAAATTAAGAAGTATGGAGTGTAGAAATAAGGAGTACAGACTGTGTATTAAAAAGTGTCCATAGAAAACCGTTAAATAAAGGTGGCGCCACTATAGCTATGGGCTAAATTTTAAAGAACGTGCCGAAAAATATTAGTGGGATAGACGACTTTTTTTGAGGTTATATTTAGTAAATAAAATTATTTTAGATTTTAGAGCTACTGAGCAGTTTAGCAGCACACTTATACCGTCAACTGCTAAGTTCATTTCATCCCAGTAGCTACTCCAGCGCTGTTGTGGAGAGTTTTTGAGCTGTTATTTACTGCTTACAGATGGACACTTTTTCAACTATTCTACTATGGGAGTTGGTACTCCTTGCTTCTACACTCCATATTAAAAAGCTTCCTTTTAACAGGTACTTGGAGTTTTATATTGAATATCGATGTTGGACCAGATCCAAAGCATAATCCCAAATCTTTTTATTTTCAGACAACATAGGTCCATAAGGGTTAGTAATTAATTCTAATAGTAAGGGGTTAGTAGTACTATAATATAATAATAATTTAATTTAAATAATTTACGAATCCGTCTCTCGATCATTGTCAGCACATAGCTCCTTAATATAGGTGGTGCATGTGGATCATCTGCTACCGTCCTCAGGATGCTGTTGTGACTTCCCCGTACGCGGCTTATTAGTGACGCCACTTTCTTGCGCGTGAGTGCCTGAAAACCATCCGTTCTCGCCTGCGCAAATATTTCAGATGCACTACATAAACGAGGAAGTTTCAACATCGTCCTGAAGATGTTATTATACTGGACGCGAAGGTCCAGTATAATAATATCTTCATTTTGTTTAACGATCCTTTGGTGTAGCAGATCTACAGACTGCTCGTGTACATGAGATAAGAGACATCTATGTGAAAAATATAAAACTACGTAAATCTGTTGACAAATCAAATAGAAAGTAATTATGTATAAAAATTAGAACTTATCACGTAAAACTTGGCATTACATATTCTTCGTTATTTGATATTAGTTATAATATATAGCTAAAACATATAAAATTATAGATATAATTACATATATATAATTGGAACATAGTGGTCTTAGACTCTTTGAATATAATTTTCAAACAACTTAACATACCTAGATGAAATTATTAAGTTTGACTGTGGCGAAACCTTAACCAAAGAAAGACTGTGATAGTCCTGGACAAAGTATTATACTTTATCGAAGGTAATTTAGTAGTTAATTTTTTTTAGTTGCAATATTAACAATTTTATTTTGTTTCAGATTCAGAATGCTACGCAACAATGTATAGATAACGTAAGCCTAAATGATTAATTTAGAGTATAATCATTATTTATGAAACGTAGAGTAAAAAGTCGTCGTCTCATTCTATTTATTGTTACATACATATGTACCTACATCATTCGTCCACTAGTTATTGTATATTATGTCATTACCATTTTGAAATATAATCTACTCTTTAATTAAAATACACCTTATCAGTAACTGAAAAGCTATTGCATAATTTTTAATTTTATGATTAATCAACCTCAATAATTCACAAATAAGTACTTTCAGTAGAAGTGGAACGTTTTGTAACTGTTTTTTGTATCTATAGTTATTTAATTTTATTAATTTATTGCGTAAAACGTTAAGCAAAACTAAGACGGATTTGTGATAATATTGCAATTTATGAAATTGAAATATTTAAATAAATTTTATCAATTTGATTTTCAAAATCAATCACAATATTTCTTTGTTGTTTGTTGTTAACATAACATTCTTTAAATAATTATGCGCTTGGCGTAAGCATGATTAAGTACTTGAATTTCAATTTGACTTTCAGAATAATTATGTAAGTGTTCATTGTGAAATAAATTTTTTGAATCTTATTGAGTATATTGTCTTTTGATTTCCTCTGTCCTCATAGACGTACTACGTAGGTACAGTGAAAATATGCTTTTCCAAAATCCATTTTTAATTTTTTTTATATGATAGGGTGACAAACGAGCACACAGCCCACCTGATGGTAAGTGGTTGCTGTGGCCCATAGACATCTACATCTATCCTCGATTACGAATTAAAATGCGTGGCTGTCAACCCTGAGGACCAAGATGGAATGCCTCGTTTCCAGTAAAAAGGGGCTCCGGTACTATACACTAACCACACGAAACACAGCAGCATTACGCTCGTATTTTAAACTGGTATTCTTTGAGAGCGTGGTCCTTCCCCGGTCGAGCCGACCCATTCGTGCTAAAACTATAGATACTACTAATATAACTGCAGCATGGGTCTCACAAAACTTCTCTATATATTTTATTATATATATATATATATATATATATATATATATATATATATTATTGTATTTGATTTTTTCTAGAAGGTAAGTAGGTGAATTTAGGAATTGATTTGTTTTATAAACTAATTTTAAATTATATATAATTATTAACGTATCCCCAGTTCTAATATTTATTAATAGTAAATTGAAATTAGTGTTAACATCCAAAACCTTGATAGTCCAAAACGATATAATAGAAGTAAGACTTACCTAATAAAAAAAGTAATGTTGACATCCGCGCACACCATGACACAGAGCAGACCATGTAGTCCATAAATCTACGTCCATCGTTGTCACTCCTAAGGACTGAGATGGAATTTATTATTAAAAAAAAAGCTGTAAACTTTAGATATATGGAGCCCCTACCCTCCATAGTATGTCATTCTGAACTACACCAATGTGTATGACCACCAAGTAAAAAGATGTGAATTTTATACACCATTAAACCAGGGAAGAGTTAAATTCAGGTGCGTCCATCCATACCAGTCAAGCAGCTTTTGTTCGTTAAAGAAACGATCGAAGCGAGAGCGCGATGCGCGTATTGAATGTAAATAAGTAGGTACACCTATCGTCACAAGCATAGAAATAATTATTACTATTTTTTTATTTAACTGTTGAATAGTTTTAATTTTTTTATTTGTATTAGGTACCGAGTAAAATGGGGTGAATAGAAACCACAGGGTGAATAGAAACAAGTCTGGTTATTTGGTTAGGTTGTCTGAAGGTTTTTCTACATATCGGGAACGTGTGCGTATTTCTATCTACTGTTATTATATGCTGACATTTTTCCTTTATTTTGGTAAACTTGAAAAATCTAGAGACTCTAGAGACTTTATCAAATAACCGCGGTTTCTATTGACCCCGTTTTACGGTACTCAAACTACTATAAAATATTAGGTATATTTTTTATTCCAAAAAACGTAAGCTCAACATTAGGCTTTACTCTTGTATCGTCGAGGCGCGATACGTCAATAGACTGCACATGGACAAACATCCAGCTTCCAGGCCTTGAAAATATATTTATAGGCCATACTATAACTTGTTTAGAGCAGGATTCGAGCCCGCGGCTCGCATCGCCGAGGCCAATTACTTTGCCACTGCCGATCGAATTTGACCGATCCCGAAAATACTAAGAAAACTGTATTGTTACAGATGGACATGACTGTTCTTATTATTTTCAAAATTTATTAATTAAAAACACGCGAACACATATACGAAAGAGCAAATGAATGTTCGATACAAACTTGGTAACCTATTTGCATAAATACACAAGACAACCTCCGGCTGAGAATTTAACCCACGAACCGCGACGCAGTGCACAGGCATTTCAACCACTCGGCCAGACGATCACGCGACATTATTTTTCATTTGAAACAAACTTCATTTCAGCCGAAACGTCTCTGACGTCGTTTATTTATTTGGTGAAGTCTCTGTTGTTAAACATAATACTTTTACGGCTTCATCAACCCCTCTGTCTTGTTTCTACATTTAATAAACCTTTACAACTCGTTCTACAGTGCAAAAAGCGCTCGAAAAAACAACTTACGAATGTCTTTCAAAGTTTGTTTCATTAACTAAATTAGAGATAGCCCCAACACAAGTATTATTAATTACTTACTGGGGATATGTCATTTATAATACATGTAACTGTTTTGAGACAAATAAAATATTTTCAATTTCATTTCATTTAAGTCGTCGTTGTCATTTAATCGTTGTGTTACACG